TGATGATTTTACTTTGTATACTGATTCCAAAAATACACGAGAAGGGTAGTTTTGATATTATGTAATATTTAACTGACGGAACACTAACGTATGGACCCAACTGTCTATTTTTAAGAGTACAGGGTACTCAAGTGTTACAATTGAAAGTTTATGATACCTATCTGTCACTACCCCCAGATTATAGGGCACCTATTTGTAATTTACCCTTTTCAATATCATGTTTTTTCTTGTTTGGTATCATAGTCCAACCTAAATAAAATAAATCTTCATATTGGCATGTGCCTGCAACATTTTGGTAGGTGGAAAATAACGTCCACCTTGAGAAAAGTAGTTTGTACCTACAACTGGGTAGGAGCCAAATATTTCACCAAGAAAATTCATTAGCTCTAGGTTCTTTGCAACACAATTTTTGCTGTGGCTCAGTTTGGAAGGAGTACAAATGCAATTATGTAGAGTGTAAAACTTTGTGTTTTGTATTATTTTACTTGTATTTGTGCTGTACAAATTTGCATTTGTATTCTTTCCAAGCTGAGCCTCTAGTGTAAAAGTACGACAATGCAAATCAGTTGAATGCATATTTTGTTTTGTCTTTTTTTTTTTTAATTTTACATTTTCTTGTTTATTTTGTAGCACGAGTGAAGTAGAATAAAAGCTAAAATAAAGTAAAATAAGTTAAAAATATATTAGAATTTAAGCCCTTTTGATTTGCACTCTCATGTACTTATGTTAATTAACAAAGTGTGCATGTGCTTTGCACATGCCGCTTTTTAATGATGATGATGATAGTAAATAATAAGTTTCCATTTTTTTTATATTATATCTATAATTTTTTATTTGTCATACTGTTGTTTAATGTGATAAATATATGAGATTAGAAACGTCTCCAACTGTTTTCTTCATTTGTTGTATCTTTATACTTTTCGTGTCTTTTCATCTTTTATTATTTTTAGTACTATTATTTATTTTGACATAAAGGGTATACACATTTAACCCAAAAAATGTTGAATTATTGACTCACCACCAATTAGGAAAACAACTCAGATTTTGGGTTGGTTTTGAATTTATATTTTATTTACTTCATCAATAAAAATAATTATTATTTTTTTTAATTATTTTTCTTTAATATGGTTTATTGATACAAAATATTAGAGGTATGTGCATATGTTTTCTACATAATTTATATATTTTTTGTGTTTTTATCTTTTCTATTTTTTTAATTTAATTATGACTCTGAGAGTTGACACATTTGACCTGAAATGTTGAATTGTTGATTTATCGCCAAATACGAAAACAATCTCACTTTTGGATTAATTTTAAATCTCATATTTTATTTCCATCGTCAATAAAAAGTTAAAAGCAATTCATGTTTATTGAGTTTATTGTCAATTTTTGTATTTGTATTTTTATTTTTTAAATTTTATTGTTTAATTGTGAAATTAAGGGTTGATACATATGATCTAAAAAGATTGAACTATTGAATTGCCACCAGAAAAACAATTTCATTTTTTGGTCAATTTTACATTTTAAATTTTATTTTCAACATCCATAAAAACAACTACTATTTATCACACTTGTTTTTCTTTAATATGATTAATATAAAATACTAGACAAAATTCCTAAATGTTTTTTTTTATATTTTTTTATTGTTACATAATGTTACTGTATTTTTTATATTTTATATTCTTTTATTTAATTATGATATCAAGGGTTGGCACATTTAACTTAAAAAGTTGAATTGTTAACCTGGCATCATGAAAAATAATTTTTAATTTTGGACAAATGTTAAATTTATATTTCATTTCAACATTAGTATGAATAATTACTATTTATCATACTCATTTTTCTTTAATATATTTAATATAAAACATTAGAGGTAGATATAGATTTAATAGGGTAATTGAATCAAACAAAAATTCTACATCCGCGTTCACACTTTTAATAATAATATATAATATATAATATATAGATAAATAGATATAGATATAATTTTAATAATATTATTGTTGATGCTCGGATTGGCCAAGGACAACAAGGTAATTTCGCTCCCGAGCTTTGGTGGAGATGGTCGAGGGTTTCGAAGGTCCGAAGGAGGGGAAGCTGAAGCCGAGGACTATGTCCGAGGTGGAAGGTCTTTTCAGATACTGTAGGAGCCGAAGGCTAGTACCGAGTGCGATGTGCGAGGGGTCCAAAGTAGGTCCTAGGACAGAGGTGTCAAAGGCCTTGGGTGGGTACCTGAGGTGAGGACTCCAATGATCAAGTTAGTACGAGCATAAAGTGAGTCAAAGGTCTAGAGTCGAAGGAACGAGACGAGGACTTAAATAGCACTTAAGTTCTCCAGAGGGAAGTAGTGCTTAGAGATTACTCAAGCTCCAAATCGAGTCTAAAGAGTCTAGCCTCCTACCTTGTGGGGAGGGGGGGGTGCTTCGTATTTATAGCTGGAGTCGCCTGGGAGTAGTTGGGCCTAAATGGTCCAGATACGAGCTGTACAAGGGCTTGGCGAGATCCTTTGCCAGAGCCATCCGACGCTCTTTGATTGGGTCCGTCCGGTCTGCGCCTGAACCCCAAGTGTCCCCATGGTACGCTCGGACTGGCGCCCTCTGATTCGACATGCATCAGCCCCATACAGGCCAGCCAAATGCACCTACATCAATTATAAATATAAATATAGATATAAATAATAAAATTTCATTGCAAGCAAACAAGCTTAACCAACATTTTTGGAGCAAAATATAAAACGGGGGAAATCAATAATAGGGAATGCTTGTGAATATAACATGTCTTTGGAAAAAATAATCGTGGTTTTCTTCGGCCTACTATATAGATAATATGGGACCCATGATAAAACATGTTTAACGTTGTCTTGTACCGTGTCCTCATATATGTCCCTCCATGTCTGTACTCTGTGGAGTACAAAGTAGTAATACAAAGTTGCACAAATTCTTTCTTTCTCTCCCCAAGTATCATTGGACTTTATTTCTTTATTAGCAGAAAATGTTCAGCCCAAATCTGGGTTTGGTTCATTCATTGGATTTAGATCTTGAGCCCGAGCCTAAAGTTTATGGACATAAAAAAATATTACTTATTGTATAATTTAATAAATTAATATATATATATATATATATTAGTTTTATTATATATAATATTATCATGTTAGGGTTGTTTAGGAAAGCTCAAGTTTAATCCTAAATATAGTTAGGCATAGAATTATTCATGGGCCGGGTTTGGGCTTGGTTTTATACTTTTGTTCTCAAGCTTCGGGCCAAGTTTTGGCAAAAGCTCCAAGCTAAGTTTGTTTTTTGTTTTTTTTTACTCAGTTTGGAAAGAGTACAAATATAAATACATATATTACAAATATATGCAAAATAATATAAAATACAAGGTTTTTATACTCCTTCCAAAAAGAGCCTTTGGTTTTTTATATTTAATCGCCTGAATCCCCAATTGGTGATGTGGTTTTTTTTTTTCTTTTGAAAATATCCCAGCATCATACTCAACCATTTTGGTCTCTGCGTATTATTAGAAGCTACTATGCCTCAGCCCTCCCCAGCGGGTATGGTGAAAAAAATCATGAGAGCATACATTAAGGTTATGTTTGGTTTGAAGAAAAAGATAGAAAAAGTAGGGAAATTTATACAAGATTTGTAAAGGTTTTCTCACCTTTTCTTTTCCTACTCTTTTCTTCAAAGCAAACACAGCCTAAGGCTTAATTTGAAAGGAGTATAAATACAAATATGTATAGTGTAAAACTTTGTATTTTGTATGTATTTACACCATATATATTTGTATTTGTAGTCTTTCCAAACTGAGCCAACGGTCAATCAGTCATTTAAAGAGCTGTTTGTTTCAGCTTATTTCAACAGCTTATTCAGAGTGTTTCAAAATAGCTGAACTTGTTTAACTGAATCGGCTGAATTGCAGCAGTTTTGTCTGTTATAGGGTGAGTCCTACACAGACGCCTTAAGTTATATTTGGTGAAAAAATCGGAAAAACCCTAATTAGCTATTCAATCATCTTTTGACTGTCCGTTTCAACATCTTTTAAGCCTAAAAAATGTTACAGCTCAACCCTTCCAAACGGCACTTAATTGCGTTTTTCAGCTGGCGCCTACTGCATTCTTAATTAAGAATTAAGATGGGTTTAATTTATTCTTATTTGTTAATCAAGTTGGGCTTTATATTAGAGCCAATTTTTTTCTTTTCTTTTTTTTTTTTCGCTAGATAGGTATATTGAAGTTAGAGCTGTTTATGGGTCAGGCTCGGGCCGGGCTTTCACTCTGCATTAACAAGTTTTTCTACAGCCTGAGTTCGAGCCTGGCCCGACATCGGGCTTACAACTTGGGCCCGAGCTCGGCCCTCATAAAAAACCCGAAGGTCCAAGCCCAAAGTCTAGCTCATGCCGCTACTATTGCTGAAGCGACTGAAGAGAGAGAGAGATTATAAAGAAAAAAATATATATATTAAATTATTAATATATATATATTCTAATAAATGTTATATATTTTATATTATATATTTTAGAAAATATATAATACTGAATCGGGTCGGACTTTTTTAACAAATCCCGAGCCCAACCCGAAATACAATCGAACTTGCTGTTTTGGGCCCGAAGTCAGGCCTACGGGTCTAATTAGATGTCCAAGCCCGACCGGGGTGCGGGCTGCGCCGGGCCGGATAGCCCGTCGGCCCATGAACACGTATAATTGAAGCCACGATTTGCGCCTGCTAATTAATTTAGGTCATGGTTGACAAAAGTTTGATAATTTATTCTTTTTCGTGGTCAGAACCAGAAGGAAAGCTGCTGGCTGCTGCAGAATTCACCTACCCAACTGTGAGAACTGTAGTCGCTGGATGGTGGATGCGAATATAAAAGCTATCAATCTACGTTTTACTCATTCGTACATCTGTAGATCCACAATCACCAAATAAATCCCCATGTTTCAGATGTTCGAATCCAATGGGTATCAGTCCTAGGAGTACAGATAATTTGTTGTAATCCCTTGAAAATTCCGTCCACCCATGACCCAACGTAAATTGGAAAGAGCATAACCGGGTGAGGGAGAGAAGAACCAGAGACAGAGAAGGAAGATACACGTTCCCTTTCCGAACTCAGAGTCTCAGATTATATAGTACCTGTTTACCTTTTCATACCCTCTCTCCCTCTCTCTCTCTCACGAGATGAAGACTTCTCTGAAGGCGAGATACGAAACTGACAAGAGCAGTGCCGCTGCAACTCTAGCCATTAATGCCGGCGATGTGAAGCTCCGAGCTTCTATGACGGATGCCACCGTCGTCAATGGTCCCAGCTTAAATGGTCTCTCTCTCTCCGTGGAGAAGCCTGGCTTCTTCATTGTTGACTACAACGTACCTAGACAGGTTATCTATTCCTAAATTTCTAGTAACTGGAATCTCTATTATAGAAATACTAGGGTTTTCAGAACCATCTTACTGTTTCTCCTTTCCATTTTGCCCAGGATGTTAGGTTTCAGTTCATGAACACAATTAGGGTTGCAGAGAAACCACTGAATCTGACTTACATTCATGGGCGCGGCGATAACCGGACTGTTTTGGACGGAACTCTCGTTCTTGATTCGGCTAACAAGGTCTCAGCTAATTACGTGTTTGGTTCTGGGAACTGCAAGTTGAAGTACGCTTATGTCCATGGAGGCGTGAGGACATTTGAGCCCTGCTACGACCTCACCAAGAATTCCTGGGACTTTGCTGTGTCTCAGAGGGTTTATGGGGAAGACGTGTTTAGGGCTTCATACCAGACGTCGAGCAAGCTCTTGGGGCTGGAGTGGTCGAGGGATTCGAAATTAAATGGGACCTTCAAGGTAAAGAATATTGTTTGTCGCATTGGTTGGAAGATTGCTTCTGATGTATTTTGTTGCGTGGCTAGAAGGAAACGTTAGCTGCATACATGATTGAAAACAAGGTGGAAATAATTATTTCTGTTTTGCATTAAAATTAATGTATTTTCTTAGTTTAAATACTCAAAGAAACCTTGTGGCTTGTGTTTTTACGCGGTCTGCAACAACTGATGTCACGCATGGGTACCCCCTATACGAATAGAAATTTTTATTTTGATCATGACCCAATTATAGATTTTAAGTTATGAATTTATAGAAAATCTAATGAAAACAAGTTGGATAACATCAGCATATTGAGATTGCTAGTCCAAATGGATCTTCAAAACATAACTTTCTTTTTTTTTTTTTTTTCTTGTGTTTAAATAGTGTTTCCTTCACTTGTTTTTTGCTGGGGAAGGTGACTATAATGGATGTGGAGTTTCTGGACTATGTTTTTGTCCTCTCAAATGCATGCAATTTGACATTAAATAATTCTTTGAGCAACTTAATCTCCTCATATGCTGCCTAGAGTTTTGTGCTTTGACTTGATGTTCAACAGTCACCCTGCCAACTCCATTCTATCTTGTAATTCACCAATGAGTAAACTACTTTTACTAAGGCTCTCCACTTTCCTGTACTGATAAAAAATAAAAAAAAAAAGAAAAAAGGCTCTCCACTTTCCTGAGGAGCTGTCAAGCTGAACCATTTTTTGATCATGATCCTTAACATAACCGGAAGTGTTTTTATTGAAGAAGATGGCACAATTGCTGACAATTCCCCATCCCATGCTCTCTTGGCTTCCCTTGTAAGTGCATCTGATGGATCATTTACTGTTCAAGGTACCCATCTCAAGGTGTTTGCTTCCCCTCAGCAGAGAATTCTAAGCATCCATGATCCATCAACTACTGCTAAAATCCATTCTATTAGGATATGGTAGTCTCTGTCTATTACAAGATTGATCTGAATAGAAATATAAACTTGCTTAAGGCCTTGTAAATTGTAATAGATCAAGAAGTTCTGCTCTCATCTGTGAAGATTGTTTTCCAAGAAGAAGAAGAAAAGAAGAGAAGAAGAGAAGAGAGAAAAGATATGAGAGAGGCAAAAAGTAGCTGGTGGTGCCAGCCATTCTATTATATACTAGGGCAATTGAAAAATAAAAGAGAAAAATTACAACAATGCCCTAGTAGTCGACTATGGGAAATCTCTTCATCAAGTAAACGACTACTAGGACCAGTATACTGATAGTAGTCGACTACTAAGAAAACTGTGTGAAGTAGTCAACTACTAGCAACCGAGTATTGCTTTCGGGTACAAGTTTAAGATATTACATCAAAGATGAATAATGGATATTTCTTAGGGAATCCAGGGCTGTCACAACTCAGGAGCTGCAAGAGAAAGCAACAATGGGGAAATAATAGTAGTTTATTCTTTTTTCTTCTAGAAAAGGTAAATTGTGATGTATTTAAAACTGTAAATGAGGAAGAATAATTGTAGTTCATTCTCTGAAAATTTTGGACTATATTCTCAACTGAACTCACAAAACCTAATTCCAACTATTCGTTTGGAAGATATTTGGAACTTTAATCAGAAGAGAAACATCTACTTATATATCATTATATATATATATTTATTTATTTTTATTAGCTTCAGTTAAATTTTGGCCAGAAAAAAGTTATTAGTAGGTATAAAGGGTAGAGTTGTCAATATGGTGCGGTGAAGAGTGCAACTTTGACTATTTGATATGATTGGCAATTTCCTAGAAGCATATTACTGATTGGAAGAAGACACTAAAAACTGCTTGACTGTTATTCTTTGTCTTATGCCTTGTTACTATTTTATATGCCACTATGCAACCACATGCCATCACAAATTCTTAAAGTAACTAGTGTCCTTATATGCTGCTTAGTCTTTTGTTGTTTGACATGACATTGAATGGATATGTTTGTCTCTTGACAACCCTTAGAACCTTACAACTCTGAAACTATTCTTGAGGCCTTTCTTGCTACCCCATATAATATGTCCAGAACGAACCACATCCTATTTCTCCTATCTTGTAATCCACCAGCGGATAGAAAACTATTTTATAATGCCTCTTCCATCTCAAGGAGATCTCAAGCTGAATTTTGGAGTGATATACCTCAGGAGTCTGTGGCTATCAGGATCTGAAGGAATATTTAGAAGACATGGTGGGGACTGGGGAGACACTGGTGGTTTATTAAGAGCCTATTGTCAAAGGAGAATAATAGTACACAAATAGGAAGGAGTAAACCTTAATGGGGCTTTGACAGAGGAGTGATGTTTTGCTACTGGATTTTAGGATTTAGGAATGATGTGATGTTGATTCACAGGGTATAACAAGCTGCTCTGGGAGTGATTTAGGGATTTGAGAATGACCCTAAACTAAATAATAGCAAATATAGGGTCTAGGTCTCTCCTAGAGTTTTATTTCACACAATCCTTGGGGCTCTAGTAATGGACTTTTGTACCTAGGAATGGCAGAAGGACCTTTTTGTTCCTTAACCTTTTGACAAGGGTGGGGCAGTAAGCTCTCTGCTCCTCCTTAACTTTTTGCATACCTGTGTACATTCTCTCCTGTGGTTGGGATCAGAGTTTAAAAATAATTTTTTATCTAAGTAATATATTTTAGGTGGGACTCATCAAATGTTCAATGCTTGTGCACTTGTGCCACATGCAGAGTATTTTCTAAGTCAATGGTATATCATCTAGATGGGACCCCTTCAGTTAAAGGTTAATTCATCAAAATGTAGCAACAAATCATGTGAGGCACATCCCACCAAATGAACCTTGCTCGTGAACCTACCTAAACATCATGAGCCACTCCTTTTACGACAGTGGTCTTTATTTGCACAATTGTTGGAATTCAGAAGATATCCCATTGTAACTCTAATCATTCTTTTATCTTGTTGTATGACACCTAACAATAATCTAATTCAAGTCCTGTCCCTATATTGATGTGTCATTCCTTTATTTCTTTCTTTTGTCTTTTTTCTTCTTGGATCAATGCCAAGATTAAATGCATATTATGGATAGAGAGGTATCAAAGATGAAGGAAATCATCCTTCATTGCAGCTCAAAGGAAGAAAGATGATATCAAAGAAAAAATAGCCACCAAGACTAGCCTCCAAAAGCATGTAATGTGTATATGACCTGGCTTGTCCATGTAAATATGTAATGTTGGGTGCCAGACTTGGAAAATGGCCTAGTAGCCTTATCGAGATTCATTTGTTTTAAAAATTAGAATGTTAGAATCGTTTTGAATAATCAAATTGAACCATAGGAAGCACAGTTCTAAATGTCTAAAACAATAGGGGGTAGTATACTGCTAAAAAGAGTGAAGATTCCAATCATGAATCTTAATTTTAAATTTTAATCACAAAATGGGGTTGAATCATATGATGATAAATTGTGTAAGTCATCTGTTTTTCAATGCCCTGCCCTTTCTTTTTAAGCGAAAATTGACCTACATGGGTCAGGGATGTGAGGTTCATCTGTTTTTACCAAATGAAGAAGGCTTTCACCATCTTTCCCTTTCTAATAATTTGATTTCTTTGCAATCAAGGAATGTCCATTCTTTTGAACCTTCAGAAAAGGAACTTAAATTAATTGCTCAGTACATGCAGACACCCCTTTATGGAGTAAAGGTCCATAAAGCACTGGCCCTTGCCTAATTACACAATTTGCACAAGGAGGAGATGCCGAAGGTAGCTTGATGGAGTGGAAGTCCATTTTATGTTTTAAGTGGTGTTTGGGGATACGACTTCTGCTCTCTGGTTATTGTGTTTGTCTGGTTGTTGATAAACATTGTAACAGGGTGGTGCATTGTGGGTTTCATGATCTTCCAATTTAGGTTGCAGTTTTGAATTTTTTAAGTAGGTGATGTTTGTACATGTGTAATGTATTGGGCTGGCGTTGGCAGGATGTGCCTAACTTTATTGTGACCACTTTTTTTGAAGGCGATTCCTTTTCTTTTGTTCGTTTTTTATTTGGTTAGGCCATACTACTAGTATGCATCTTGTATACTCTTCTTTTAATGAACAGTATATTTCTATAAAATTTCTTCTTAAACCTTCTATGATATCCATTTGATTGATGGAATGCTTTGGGCATGCCTCTTTTTTTTTTTTTATAAAGGAGGTGCTCCCCTAATCATTAGTCAAAGTAGAGATCTCATGAATTCAAATTATTTAGTTCATAGTCAGATTCATATTGGTCGGTCTTTCAAGTTGCAAGGAAGTTGCTTTGATTGAATTGATGTTTCAACTTTCAAAGAATTGAACAGTGAAATAGATGCCTGGTTGCTTTGATTGAATTGTTCTGATCATGTAAGAATATCAACATCTTTTGTAGTATATCAATTATTAAAGAATATCTTGGGTCTTAGGAGGGGTGGACTGGATATAGGCCTAACCTTTGGCATTTCTATTATCACTTATAGAAAAGATGATTGGGTGATGCAACAGGCAGCAGACCTGATTGTTTTGCTACAGAATCAATCAGAAAATTAACATAGGGGAGCAGGACTCAAGGAAGTGGAAATGGACTTAATCAGTGCTTTTATCATGGTTTGGTTGGTTATTCAAACCAATATTTCCCCAGTAAAGCCATCTGGGGAGCATCAAAAGTCAATTTTTTTGTGTGGGTAGTAGCATGGCAGAAGTGTCTGACCAAGGAAATGCTTCCTAGAGGGGGAGTAAGTTTACCTAACTACCTTTGCCCTCTATGTAACAGGGAGACAATCTCTGAATCACCCATTCCTCTTTTGTGACTATTCTTCCAGAATTTGGCACCACTTTTGCATGGCAATTCCTGTATTCTGGTGTTGCCAGCTTTAGTTCAGAATCTTTTGGTAGGTTGACAAGTTCAAGGCTTTTCTAAGAAAAGGAGAGCTTGCTGGGCGGTTGTGCCTCTAGCAGTGGGCCCTATGGCAGGAGAGGAATGGTTGAATATTTGACCATAAGTCTAACCCTAGGGAGATGGTAACAATGAGGATGGTAATTTGGGTTGTAGAAGCAAATATCCTTAATGAGAATTTGTTGTCACAAACCGGCAAAGATAAGGATGATGATGCTGGCTGTGTGCCTCTCCAGAAATTAGTGGAAAGAGAGGTCGCAATTGGTAAGAGTCTGGGTTTATTTTTTTTGGGATGGTGAGGAGTTTGCTAGAAGGGCTTTTGAGGAGTTTGAGAGGAGGAAAAGGGATGAGAAGTTGAAAAGAAAAGTTCGGTCAGGAGGAGGTAAAGATTGGAATGAAGATGACTCAGGGCAGGAAGATGCAATCATGGATGAAGAATGAATCCTGTCTGTTACGCAAGCTGAGATTTGTTGGATTAGGTGTATAGCTGGTGGTCATCTCAGTTCAAGGGGTTTCTTTTTATTTTCTGGGTCTTTGTGTTGTTCTCCGGCTGATTTGTTGAGCCGTAAGGTCTTTCATCTGAGTGTTTTTAGGTCTTGTTATGGTTTTTTGTTGTCTCAGTTGGGGTCCTTTGGCTGTGTGTCCATTTTGGGTGATTCCTTATCACCTTTCTATTGTATTTCTTTTTCTTTTTAATGAATTTTCTCTTTATTCTTCAACAAAAAAGAGTCACGTAATAAAGGAAGCTGCACCTGTCAAGGAGTAAAGCTAACTGGCCATAACAATACAAAGAAACTTTGGTGATCAGGTAAAATGTCTTTTAGGTTGCACTTGACCTCTAACTTTGCCACACTAATGGAAAGAGAATCCTGAAGACCATGTATATGTCATGTTCTCCATTCCAGTTTAGTTACTATCCACCTTCATACAGGACAAAACATTGTTTTATCTTTGATCTGCCAAGAGTAATGAGCTTAGATGTTGAGACATAATCCTACCTTTATAGATACTAGATCGAGAAGCACAGTATGCAACTCAAATTATAATTATCTTGGTAGCCCAAGGATGAATTTACTATCCTCAAATTCTATCCTGTTCCTTGCTTCCCAAATAGCCCGAGGAATGATGGACACAAAGGAACATTTACACAATAGTTAGCGTCTTTAATCCAGAAGGAACAAGCATCACAAGCATCCAATTTCTCATAAGGTCCTATTATCAACAGGGGATGCTAACATGATCCCCAAATAAGTGAAAAACTCCAGGGAGAATAACACCATTGTCTGTAAATTGTGGACTACTGGGAGATAACGTTGTTATATAATGGGGCCTTGTAGGATTTCAGCATATTAAATTTATTTATTTTTTGATAAATTTTCAGCATATTAGATTTACAGTAATAGCTTTAGGTTGTCAGGATATTATTTCAGCATATTATGTGATTTTAAATCTAAGAAATTGATTTATGTAGTGCACAAGGGTGTACTTTCTTATCTGCTTCGATTTTGTATAATTAGCGATTCAGTAGCCACTTTTACTTGATGCAAATTGTCTTTGTTGGAAACAAATGTGTCTATCAAGTATCAAAGTAGTATTGGTGCTGAACATCTTGTAACACATCAACCAATTAACCGACTCCACTCAGGCAGGTCAAATATATGTCATTTCTCTAACAGGGATTCAAGTTTTTTATTATTTTCAGGGATTTGTATATATTTCCTTTTCGGTAAGATTTTAACCTTTGAATCTTTTGTTTTTCTCAGATTTCAGCATCTCTAAATCTGGCAGAGGAAGTAAAAATGCCAAAAGTAACTGCTGAGAGTACGTGGAATTTTGAGATGTGATTTTTCTATTGAAATTCCTGCAAAGCAAGCGATTTCTATTGGTTGTATTTCAATGCCCCTTGGTGGGCTGCTTCCATTTTTGCTCAATACTGCAAATTATTTATGCACAATAACCAGATCAGTGGCAGCTAATTAGTTTTTGCTGTGAAATGGAGAATGTAAGTTTCTAATTGAGATATGATTGCTTTAGTCCTCATTTTCTGCTCCCTTCTCTATTACTGGTTCAAGAGATGCAGTAGAGTGCTTGTGGGATTTAGCCAGTGTTTGGAACCAATGGAGTTTTTTTGAAAAATGGTGCACGTCAGCATCACATCTGAATTTCGTTTTTTCAGACCGTGGCTGATGTTTGGTTACACATTTTTTAGAATATTTTCTCAAACCACACCTGGAAATCAGGAAAGGTATGGTTTGAGAAAACATTCTTTTGGTGTTTTCTTGCTTTTTTACTGTTGCTGGTAACATTATGCTGATGTAACATTAAAAATGCCCATGTGGCAGCAACTAGCAATGATCTAAAAAAAAGCCATTTTCAACAGACCAAGATTCCCTAGAATCTTCAATCTCTCCACTGGTCAAGATTCAACTGTTTCCTCTTGTATCCCAGTTTTACCTGTCGATAATAACTTGACCCTGAACCTGAGAAGACCTCTAAGGGACACTGAGATCTCAGACCTCATAAGCCTCTTCCTCACCTTAAAAGAAGTCTACACCTCCCCTCATTCCAATGACACCCGAATTTGGACCCTCAACCCAAATGGTGATTTCTCTTCCAAATCTATGTTTAAGGTTCCAATTCCAGGTGATCAGAATTCCTCTTTCCCTTTCAAGAAGGTTTGGAGTAGTCATATTCCTCCAAGAGTTTGCTTCTTTGTCTGGGAAGCGTGTCTACAGAGAATAAACAGGTGTGATCTTCTTCAGAAAAAAAAGCCTGGGAAGGTCATATATTCCTCCTCATGCATGTGTTCTCTGCCTAAGAGAAGGGGGAATCTACAGATCGTCTACTCATTCATTGCAATTTTTCTCAAAATATTTGGTGGCATTTCTTAAACCTGACTGCATATAGTCGGGTTTCTCCAAAGCATATTAAGGAGTTCCTCAATCAGGGGCATGGGTCAGGCTTGAGCAGAAGAGGTGAAGTGTATTGGCAAACTGTGGTAGGAAAGAAACAGGCGCATATTTGAAAACAAAATCAGATCTCTAGAATTAATTTCAGATATATTCTTTTGTTGTAATTTTTGGGCTGTTAATTCTGAGAGGTTTCAAGGCCTCTCTCTCAATGATCTTAACAGAAATATCTATATGATCTTGCTTCTCCCAACTTACCCTCAACCAACCCAAAGATTACAGATACCGCATATTGAAGAAGGGATGATTCTAAACTTCGATGGAAGTGCCAGCAGGCAATCTGGGAAAGCTGGGATAGGTGGTATTTTGAGGGATAAACAGAGGATTATCTGTTGGGCTTTCAGTGGCCCAATAGGTAATACAGACTCAACAAAGGCTGAAGTGATGGCAGCGCTCACTGCAACCAGAATAATAAGAAGTTTAGGCATTCAGAAATTATCCATTGGAGATTCTGCTAATACTATCAAATGGCTGAAAAGACAAGGAGGGGGGGGGGTCCTTGGAGGTTGAGTCATTATTTGACTGAGGCAAGAGACTCCTTGGAAAATTTAAATGTAAATCTGTTGCAAATCTGGTTAACTTTTTCTCAAAAAAAAAAGCCATTTTCTGAAAAATCAGTATACCAATGCAGCATCGTTTTTTCAAAAAATACTTCTCAAAAAACGGCATTGGTTCCAAACGTGGCTACTAATTTGATCCATCTCAGGGGCAAGATTTTCTAAGTGGAGATTCCCCTATCCATATATTAATGGTTAGCCTTCAGCCATATGATTGGCAATAAAATTAAATAGTAAATTATTTAGAATCCATACTTGGATACGGAGAGGGAAGAGTCATAATTATTTAGAATTCATATTTGTTTGAACGGTATGAGCATGGGCTTGCACTGACCAAAGCCGATCTCTTGGGGAGTTTGGCTTCGTTCAGTGCAACGCCTGTTCGAATAGCCTTTACAGCCTTGCATTGGGAATTTCTCTGAACTCATGTGTTTTATTTTATGGGGAGATATTTCCAATGCAAGGTTGCAAGAGGTTGTTTGAACGGTGTGAGCATAGGCTTGTACTAACCAAAGCCGATCTCTTGTATTTGCTAAGTGCTATCATGAGTTTACTGTTAAATTATCCCCTTCTTAATTCCCTAAGCTTAAAAAAAAGAAACAAAAAAGAACTATTAAGGTCATGTTTGGGAGTGCTTAAAAACAAGTGCTTATTTGAATAAGCACTTATTAGCATTTGGCATCCAATTTTTTCAAGTGCTTATTTTTTAAAATAAACACTTATTTTATATTAGGCGTTTGATGGTCATTTTCTCTAATTAGCATTTAAATAAGCATTTGTGACTATTTTGTCCATTTTCTTTCAAATTTTCAAAATATACTTTTTGAAAGCACTTTTAATAAATTATTTTTATAAAAACACTTCATAAAAGTACATTCTGAAAAACATTTTTATAAAAACATTTTTATGAAAGTACTTTTTATAAAAGTATTTTTATGAAAGTACTTCTATGAAAGCACTTTTATGAAAGAACTTTTATGAAAGCACTTTTATGAAAGTACTTTTATGAAAGCACTTTTATAAAAGTACTTTACGCTTTCATAGAAGTGATTTTGTAGAAGTACTTTCATAAAAATGCTTTTGTAAGGGTATTTTCTTAAAAGTGTTTTTGTAAAAGTACTTTTATAAGTGTATTTGTAATTTTTTTTATAAAAGTGCTTTTGTAAAAGTGATTTCATAAAAGTATTTTTATAAAAGTGTTTCATAAAAGTACTTTTATAAAATTCAACTAGGGATAATTTTATAAGTGATATTTTAAAATTCAACTAGGGATAAAAATAAGTTTTTATTTTTAAAATAAGCACTTATTTCGGATTTATTTCCCAAATACCAATAAATGCTTAATAATCCAAATAAGTACTTATTTTTAAGCACTCCCAAACATAGCCTAATTCCCCCGCCCCACCCCAGCCTAGTCGAGATGGAAGAGGCTTGTAACGAGGCTGTTAACTTGCCTCAAGGGAGTACGGTTAGCGATTGAGTGTTGGTTTGTTAATAGTTATTTCCAATACCCTGTAGCACTGGGTCTCGGCTCAGCTGGATGTGGGATTCAAATTCAGCATTGCCCTCTAAAAACATTCTAGTTTTGTAGTTGGCTCTTAGGATGATTCTTAGAGGTGTAAAGTGGGCCGGGCCGGGTCGGCACAACACGGTCCATGGGCGGCCCGCCCGCCTTAAAGGTGGGCCGTGCCGTCCTCTTCGGTGGAAATTTTGGGGGTCGGCCCGGCACAACCCATGGCCCAAGCCCAAGCGGGCCCATGCCGTGCCGTGTCGACACGCGGGCCTGGGCTGGGCCACAGGGTGGGCCTTGGGCCTAGGCCGAATCGGGCTGCACTATTTTTTTTTTTTGAAAATTTTGATTTCTTTTCTAAGTAAAATTGTAACACTAAAATATTTAACTTTCCTATGAACTTTGGGAATTAGGAACTATTTAAAAAATTAAGAAATGAAAATCTAAGTTATTTAATACATAAATGAAAAAAAATACTTAACCAAATTGAAATAAGAATGATGGAATAACAAATTGGAAGAAAAATAGGAATTTTATTTCATTTAAATTTGAATRGTACAAATTAGTGAATTACAAATACAATGATTGGATCATTGCATACTTCGATGAATGAAATATAAAAATGGAATAAATTAATAAAATATAAAAAATACAATATGGTTACAAATTGAAAATACAAAATTACATTATTAAAAAATTAAAAAAATATCAAATAAATTAAATAAAATTTAAAAATTTTACAATAATTTGAAAAAATGAAAAATTCTACAAGTAGTTAAATTCACGAATCATCATTCATGACTTTCATCATCTGCTTTGGGTGAAATGTCCAGTGTTGTATCTTGCCCTCCCTTGTCATGTAATCTATCTTTTGCGTCTAGCCAATCCTTGAAGTAGATGCACATCTCTATGCTCTCATCATTCATGCAGCTTCTTTTGTCATCCAACACCCTGGTACCTGCACTAAATTAAGACTTCGATGGAACTGTAGACACCGGAGGGGTTAGTAGATCACGTGCCATAGCGGCGAGAACTAGATAATTTTTCGAGTGTTCACTACACCAAGCTAAAATATCAAAATTATTTGATACTTCACCTAAATTAGAAAAATTTGCTTGCAAATAAAAATAAAGTTCAGTAAATGAATTTGTTGTAGAATTAGCAGATTTTTGCCTTCTACATATTAAATAAAAAAGCTTTTCTCTTCTACTACTGGGCTCAAAGTCAGAAGGAGAAGAAGAAGATGAACAAGTTGTAGGAATACAAACTATACATTTCAAATAATAAATTATTAATTTCTTCTTTTTTATTTCCTATATTAATATTCATATTTTCATAATATGTTTCAAGTAAAATATCTAAACCATCTTTCCTAATCCTAGGGTCTAATATTGTAGCTAAACAATAAAGGGGAGAATTGTTCTCCCAATATTTTTTAAATTTATTTTTCATATTTCAATAATACATTGAAATTGTAGATTATTTCTATATTTGGCAAAACAATCACTAATTGCCATTAATTGATACGATAAATTATAACTAGTTGGATGATGAATTCCAGATAATGAATTTGTTGCATCATAAAAATGTTTTAAAAAATCTCTTACACAGATTGCCATTTCCCAATCTTTCTCAAATATCATATCATTAGGCATTTTTAAATTATAAAAATCTGAAAGAACTTGTTTATGAGATATACAACTTTCTAACATAGCATAGGTAGAATTCCACCTATGCTTTACATCTAATATAAAATGTTTATATTTTAAACCATAATTTTGGCATAAATATTTAAATTCTTGTTTTCTTGCCCCTGAACTTTATATATATATAATATAATTTCTAATTTTTGAAATATGATTTGAAATAATATTCAAGGAATCTTGAATACATAAATCTAATATGAATCAATTTACCATTTAAGCATGGTTTTAATTGAGATTTTAAAATATTTATTGCAGAATCATTATTGCTAGCATTATCAAAACTATTTGTTTTCTATTC